AATAAAAATTTGAGTTTTAAAAATTAAATTTTTTAAAAGTAATTAGACTAAAGGGCATAGTTTTGATAAGTCCTATAAAAAAGTGCTTCAACTTAAGTAGCTCTTCAAGTCTTGATAAGTCCAGTTATCTTATACATACATACATACATATATATATATTTGATTGATAATGATATAATTTGATTAATATTTATTATAGGTAATGAAGAAAAAGTTATAAACATAATTGATATTGAATCTTCATTTTTATCTTTAATAAGTGAACTTATATTTGAGAGATTTAATATTTTATTTTTAAATAATGGTGAGGAGAATTTAAATTTACATTAATAAATATTTTTATCTTCATCTTAAATTTAAAATTTTAAACCTTTATCAAATTTTATGTGAAATTTTGATTTTATTTTTTTTTAGAACTTAAGAGCCTAACCTTGAACCCTTTAAATAAATATTAAATTTTAAATTAAGTTAAATTTTAGTTAACCAAATTTTAAAACCTAAACCCTTAAAAACCGAACTTATAAAAAATAACCCTTAAGAGTTTGACTCGTCCTGAACCTAACAACCCGCGAACTTATAAAAAATAAACCCTTAAGAGTTTGACTCGTCCTGATCGCCACCTCTAACAACCAACGCGTCTCCTCTATCTGATCTCGACATCTCGTCACCCTTCTTCCATCACCCATCTTCTCCACAATTCTATCTTGCTACCTTCCCTTGGAGGAAATTTTGTTAGTGGGAGCAATTTTATATCAAATAAATAGCAATATTTTTGAAATGTAATTCTGAATAGTTATTAAATTAATAAAAATAATTTCATTAAAATAAATGCATGAGAATAAACACAATTACTATAAAATTATAATAACTTAAAAATAAAATTATCTTAATATAAGAAAATTTTATATTGAAAATGATGCTCTTTGACACTGTTAAATATCAAAATAGAAAATTATCTTTATATTGATTTATATTAATATCATACTTTGATAACCTTTTTTTTAATAAAAAGAATCATACACTTGTAGAATAGATATTTTCAACATAAACAACTAAAAATTGTTTTCTATTTGATTATAGAGTGTTACATTTGAGTATGAATGAGTAAAAATTAAAACTTAAAGAATTTGAACTTATTATTTTTAAAAAAATAAAGATCAGGAAAAACACAAATATTAGTACCTATAATTTTATGTGTTTTGTTATCTGTCCCAGGAATGTTAGTCCATACTCCCTATACTATCATCATCATCATTATTATTAATGATGTTAAATCTTGTGTTGAATGCTAAAATAAATGCAAAGAGCTTCGTTGGCTCATTTTGATTTAAGCATGTAAGCATCCCCACTAACATATTAGTTATACATAAGATAATTGAACACGGTTGTTCAAATCAATATCCCTGTTATTTATCTCCTGCAAAATTAGGAATACAAATGACATCCACTTCCTTGATTGAACGAGGGAGAATATGTGCAGGTGAAGACTGAAATTTTTTAGAAATCCAAATGATGCAAGATCAATACTTTAAGGGAGTAATGATACTTTTTTGAAGGGGCAAAGTGGAACTTTCCCCTTATTGAATTTGGATTTGGTTTTAGCGTGGGCCCCCCCTAAACGTGGGCCCGTCCCTGCTTCCCCTCATTGATAAAAAGCTTCGTTCAATTTGGATAAGATTTCACCTATAACTCCTTGTTGTATGAGTTCAAATTTGATATCACATATATAACCCTATCTTGTTTTTCATATATGACTATCCGAACAATTAAATTCAAACATTGCCAGATTTAATTAGAAGTACACAGCTTTTCGAAAAAAAATAGATGATCATAATTTTATTAATAAATAATAACTTCTCTAATTCCCCCCCCCCTAAAATACTCGCGCTTACCTTTTCTTGTGAGAATTTCTATTCACCTATTGCACAAACTTAATGACATAACATTTTTCCTTTTTCTAAATTTGGAATATGGAGTGATTCTTGAAAATGATCTTTTTTCTCCCGAATCATGACTTAAATATACTTTTTTTAACACAAAAGCCCTTAACTTCTTATAAAAGCTTAATCATTGTGTCTGTTACATCTTTAATTAATTTATTTTGTTTAAAACTAAATTTTCTATACTAAAATAGCAAAGCTTAGTGCAATTTTCTTGGTTACCCAAGTTTTACTGTGAGACTAAGTTTTTAAAATGTGACTGTGATACTAATTTTTTTAAAAAAAATTTAAGTATTATTTAAGGAGTTGTTCCCTCCTAAAATTTTTTTCCCATAAACACCTCCAAAAATTGAAATTTAAAATGATACTACTTAAGAGCTCAGATCCTTACCTTGTATGCCATACTCATACTGCAATTTATTAAATGAACATGCCAACGCCATATTGCCGACATGCTGTTCGACGGTGCCATACATGGGATAGTATTATTTAACTTGCCTAAGATCGGTCAGTTCATTATCTAAAATAATTAAATAAATCAGTGGGAATTTTTAGGTTAAAGCCAAGCCTTGTCTAGGCGGTCGGCACATGTCCGCAATATCGGATGCATTTCGCTGTAACACCTAATGAGTGAAACTAAAAAGTTCAAACACTGAATCATTGCTGCTTAATTTCTTAATACTCTCACGCCCAGACAAATTAAAAGCCAGCTTCTCTTCGTTATAATAATAAAACTATCATCATTACCCTCTATCAAGTCGTCTCTCCTTTTCACTCTCCCACCTTCACTTCAATGAATAATCCATCGCACATAATGCATATTGCATGACAAGACTCGTTTTTTACACCAAACACTTTGAACTTAGACAACTAGCTAATCGCTAAAGTATGACCCTTTTTAATAGGGGTAATTATCTAGGCAAGACCTAATGAGACAAAAAGCAATCTGAGAGTAAAATTGTTCGGTTCAATTGGAAGCAATAAAGCCGTCCTTTTATGACTTTTTAGGGTTTGTATGGTCCTTAAGGAGACATCAAACCCCCAAAACGTGTAACCATTGCCACCTGCTGATGCACTCATTCTTAACAAATTTTCTATTCTCTGGATAACTGTGGATCCCTTGCAAGTTAAAACACAGTCTTCGCGATTGTTTTTGTATTATAATAAGTCAAGTCCCTTCATCATCTTGTCCTCCCTTTCCTCGAGCAAAAAAAGAAGAGAGTCAAAGGACCATACATATAAAACACACACACCAACGTAAGTATTCCACGTTATATGGATATATCAAATAATCAATAAGCCAAAAAAAAAAAAAGATACTATTGCCAACAGGGGCAAATAAATTGTAGATAATCCGAATGAAATTCATAGTGAATTGAGAATGGGAAGCATTTTTTATTAGTCAGGTCCCATCAGAATATACATAATTTGATTGAAATCTTCATCTCAACTAACCATAAAATGATTTGATAATTGGACCGGTGTGAAAAAAGAATAAAGATATCAAACAACAATCCACAACTCACCATTAATCGAGTTAACTACAAAAAACAACTATGATAGAAGACACTTCGGTTTTTTAAAATGTAACGTCCTGAATTAATGCATCATTGTATATGATTTTTTTTTAAAAAAAATCGTGAATATATAGTGCATGATGCTGCGAATTATAACTTTGATATTGATAGATAAAACAATAATAAAAAAAGTAATGGGGACAAAGCTTGTGATGACATAAATGCCCACGTCCTGCGGGAAGTAAGAAGCATGGATACATCATACATGAGATGGGAACAGCGAGAGGACCATCACTTGCGCTGTACCTCTCAATTATCTAGCCCCAAAACAAAAGCTACAATTTATGGGCCATCTCTGACCATTGACTAATTCTTCACTCTTAGAATTTTCTTTCCATATATCCGATTATAAATTATAAAATGAATAATAACATTAAGAAAATTATATAACTCAAAATCTGGAAAATCAATGTGAAAGCCGCATAGGTCCCCCATTCCACGGGGGAAACTCCAGTCAAATTTAAATTTGCGACGCTGACTTCAGACTCCATGGATGGTGAGGATTTTGACCTAACCCACATTTGCAATCGCACGCATAAATGAACAGGGTCTTTTCAATGCATCCCACCAAAAAAAAAAAAAAGCACATCTCAAATGATCTGGGTTTCAATACTCATCAATTAACCCGTAAGCACGTGATTTGGTTGATAGCACCAATTTAGCATCGCATCAAGATTCCAGAGTTAGTAGCCTATAATTAGATAAAATTCTTACTACCAAAAATGTCCAAAATATATATATTATTGATTTCATGGTACTGGACTGACCATACCCTCAGGCTCAGTGGTGATTGCATTTAATTATAGTACTCTTTATGATTTAATATTTTATTTACTATAATTTTTCATTTATATTAATTAAAATTACATGTTTTATAAATTTAACTCAAGCATTTTTTATCAATATAATTTACAAAGTGTAAAACAGTCTTATCGGCGTAATTTATAACTAATTTGGTTATATATATATATATAAAGTATAACTGTGTGAGTAGATCTGTAATGCATAAATTTTTTAAAAAATAAGTCCCTGCTACTAACAAGATTTAATGGAACTTTTAGTTTAAGCTACTTTTTGGGCTAAAGTATGAACATTACAAAGGGTTTTATATCTTAAGAAAAATACAATCATTCATCTTTATAATTTTAACATATTGTGTATTTAGTTTTTATAATTTTTTTAAAGTTTTTAATTTTCACAAGAACTAAAAATATTAAAGATTTAAGTAATAAACGTACCCAACTTTATTAAAATTATAGAGATTAAAAAATTTAAATTAAATTATAAAAATTAAAAATAAAATATAATAAAACTATGAATGATTGTATTTTTTATTATTTTATATTCACATGTCCCAGTACTAAATTTTCCAAGAGTGAGAAGAGATGAGAGAGAGAGGGAATTAGAGCAGAAACATACCCCCAGCTCTCGGATTCTCGCTTCTCGGGCCATCAGTTCACGAGAATCAATGAATTTGTACCCTTTACCTGTTTTACCCTTGTCCTTGTTGAGGACAGATTTTCCATTTTTTTCCCCTAATAAACAAAATTCTGCATATATATTTCCTCTATTTCGTATTTTCCCTTCTGCCCTGTGCTCCTTCTGCTTCCTCCTTGCGGGCTCCAAAATGCTCCAATCTCTCATGGATGTGTCGATCTGCGTCTTGTTCAGTTTCAACAGAATATTCTAGAGATCAATACTATATATAAGCAGGTTTCACCGTACCTCCGTCTGTTTAAAAATTCAGGAAAACAAATATCTCCTTGGCTGCTTTTGCCAGCACTCTGTTCATACTTTCTGTTTGCTTATTCATTTCTCCAGACGCAATCATCCAACGATCTCCGGTTTTTGTGTCAATGGATTTTGATCTGTGTTTGCTCACGACTCTTTTTTCGTATTGCGAAATTATTGGTTCATTAGGAATTTTTTTAATTTAAGTAGTGATTTACCATTCGAATTATAGATTTTTTTTTTCTCTGGAAGCCCAGGTTCAATGGGTATTGATTGGGATCTATGTTGGATCGCTCGTTTTCTGTTTTGTTCGTGTTATTATCGTTGTGTTGTGATTTAAATAAATGGTTACGTTGGCTGATATTGGGTTCTGTGCTCTCTCTCTCTCTCTCCCTCCCCCCACCCCAACGCAGTTTATTATTATCTGGCTGGTCTTGTTCGGAGGGATAACAGCCTACCAGGAATTGGCCACATTTGTAGTACTTCAAAATGTTGCTTGCTTGGTGGAATCTTGTGGACTGAACTCGAAGAATCATGGCTAGCTTCAGCGAAGACGAAGAATGCCGATTTTTCGATGCTCAAGAGGAGGTTGCGTCCATTGCTGACGGAACTTAGATGACACGGACACACCTGACGCTAATTCTACTTCTAACTACAGGACGTGCACTGCTACGGAGTATGACGTATGGATTGGGAGCCCAATGAGCGTGCGAGAGCGTAGAAGTAAATTCATGAAGTGGATGGGACTGACTTCGGATCAAATTGCCCTTGAAAATTCTGCAGATGTACGCAGTCTTGCGCAGGAAGAAGATATGAATAGAATCAAAGAAGGTCGCGGGACCGGGAAGGTGACCTCCGATTCTCCGGAGTTTTGTTCAATTCGGTCATCAATGTCATGTTGGTCTACTGTGCATTCGTTGGACGAGCTTGGTTCAATGGAGAATTTGGGATGTGAAGATGGGATTTTGGACATGAAAACGAGTTATACTTTGGATCTGGAGGGTCAGCAAGGGAAGATGAGTGATTTTAAAGAGGTTATTTCTGATCAATCAGTAGTTGCAGAGGAGCCTCAGGTCTATGGGAACAAGTCTGAAGAGTCTCGCACTTTCCAACATTTGACGGGTAAGGAATATCGTGCGTCCGATGTTTTTGGATCGAGGACGAAGAGGGCTAAAAGGGGCTGGTTCAAAAAATTACGTTCAATAACAGGCATGGCTGACGGGCAAGGTGATGGAAGACAAGAAGGCAGTTGCGCATTCCGACATTGTAGGATTCAGAAAGTTAAAGTCCGCCATAGCAGGAGGCAGAGAAAGGAACTTTCTGGCCTTTATATGGGCCAAGATATTCAAGCTCACGAAGGTTCGATTTTGACCATGAAATTCAGTCCAAATGGACAGTATCTTGCCAGTGCTGGTGAAGATATGATTGTGCGGGTGTGGCAAGTCGTGGAAGATGAGAGATGCAATGAAATTGACATTCCAGATATTGACTCTTCCTGCATATACTTTACGGTGAATAATCTCTCAGAATTGACGCCCCTCTTTGTGGATAAGGAGCAAATGGGCAGACTTAAGAGTCTGAAGAAAACATCAGATTCAGCTTGTATCATTTTTCCTCCTAAGGTCTTCCGGTTGTTGGAAAAACCATTGCATGAGTTCCATGGGCATGGTGGTGAAATTTTGGATCTCTCTTGGTCAGAGAATAATGTGAGTAAATATCCTAAAATCGGCTGTTCAATGAACTAGGCATAAAGTTTGTTATACATGAAATGTTGGGGAAATTGATTTGGTTCTTCATCTTTTTCTGAGTGCAGTATCTGCTATCATCTTCTGTTGACAAGACTGTCCGTCTATGGAAAGTGGGGTATGACCATTGCCTGAAAGTTTTCCCGCACAGTAATTATGGTGCGCCTTACTGCATTTCTATCGTAGCTTACTTTTATAAGCTATTAGCCTTGTCAAGTTATAAGCAATCTGCTTGAATCGTTTAAAATTTTCTCACAAATTGTTGTATTTGATATTGTCTTTATAGTGACTTGTGTACAATTCAATCCTGTGGATGATAGCTATTTTATTACCGGATCAATTGATGGAAAAGTGCGCATTTGGGCAATTCCAGATTGTCATGTTGTTGATTGGACTGATATCAGAGAGATTGTGACTGCAGTTTGTTACCGACCTGATGGGCAGGTATCTTTCTGTTTCTATTTTCATACTAGAGGGATATTTATTTGCCGATAATTTATTTCAGTTGATAAATCATTTTCTAATACAGGGTGGGATAATTGGCTCCATTACAGGAAGTTGCCGGTTCTACAATGTCTCAGGTATTATCTTCTCTACATATACTTCTTCATTTTTCTTTAGTCATATTAATTAGTTGTGTCTATAAACGAATGTTGGTAAATGCCATTTTGGCCATCTCATTGAACTGATTTTGGTGAGGAAGTGAGACGTCGGTTTTTGACACAATCTTAATCTCTTTTAGCATTGGAATTGCTTGCTTGTCATTAACTTACTGTCTTTGTTATAACCACTTCAAGAGTGGGCAGCTTCTGAAATCTAAGTTCTTACTGTTCTGCTGATTTCCATTTTTATTTTAATCAGAGAATCACTTGCAGTTGGATTTCCAGCTATGCTTAGTTGGTAAAAAGAAACATCCTGGCAGAGGGATAACTGGCTTTCAGGTAATGATTCTTTTGCTTCCCGTGGCAAGACAATCTAATGGCTGTCCTTCTCCGTGTGTTTTGTGTTTTTTAGATATATGATTCTCACTTTTCTTCTTGTGATTAATTGATTGCATAACGTGTTTCAGTTTCACCCACAAGATCCTGACAAAGTTTTGGTTACCACTTCTGATTCAAAAGTCAGAATCCTTGATGGGGATAATGTGATTGGCAAATACAAAGGTACGTTCTTTTAACTAATTACATTTATGGATAATTTTCCTTTGTCTCTAGCAGATTGTATATTATTCAAGGATTGGAAGATCAATCCCTATTTAATAAAAATTTTCATTTAATTTTCTGTGGCATATACGTGGGCGAACTTAAAATTTTAATTTGATAACTTGCGAGTTTTATGATAAGAGGCCTAGCTGTTCTAATATCTTGGTCCAACAAATGTTATGTTACTAACTTTAAGTCTCTAATTTTGTTTTAGGCATTAGCGCAGGGAGCCAACTATCTGCGTCATTTACTTCCAATGGGAAACACATTTTATCAGCCTGTGAAGACTCTAATGTATATTTATGGAACGTTAGTCAGGAACAGTCTAGTCCCAAAAAAGCAAAGAAGATCAAGTCGTGTGAGCGATTTTATTCAAATGCATCTGTTGCAGTACCATGGTGTGGTTTGAAATCTCAAAATCATGTTTATGATTGTCAGTCGGATACATTGGGTCAGAGATCACCTCAAATTATACGTCTCAATCCACCTGCTTCTTTTTCTCTCAACCAAGATTATTACTTGGAATCCTTTCCCAAGGGATCTGCAACTTGGCCTGAGGAGAAGCTTCCTGTTTCAAGCCTGAAGGCTAAAAAGTCTGCAATGCATAAGTCTGAATACAAGTTCTTGAAATCTTCTTGCAAGAGTACATCCAGTTCTCATGCATGGGGTCTTGTCATCGTTACTGCAGATTGGGATGGGCGGATCAAGTCATTCCACAATTATGGGTTGCCCGCACCTGTCTGACATTCAGTGACTTGGCTAATTTGGACTAGAGAATCAAACTTCTTTGCCTTGTTAGGGCATGGTGCCCTTGGCAAATTATATGCTGCTAATCTTCAAGGCTTGAGACTGATGTTTAATAGCATCAGCAACAATACTGGTTGAGGTCAAATTCTGACTAGGGATTGCAGCTTAGATGATTAAAGGAACTTTGTCTTTCAGGTCGGCTCCTTTCAGAGTTCTCGGGAGTAATATCAACAATTGGTGCATGACCAGCGGCAGCATAAAATCAGTGGGTGGCCCAGGCCAAATTGCCTTTTGTTGCACAAGAATCTGTTGACCCCTAAAAGAGATGCAAAGTCATGTGTTGGACCTTTGAAGAGGCTCATTTGGTAAAAGGAGAATTTAGGAACTGGTGGCTGAAGTTTGCTTTGCTAAACATGGTGGGGAGTGTTTTGCATCATATAATTGGCTCTCATAACTGATAAAATCTCTCTGTCTCCTGATTTTTCCATCGATCTGCTGGTAGGACCCCCTTGTACCTGGGTCTTCAGATGCGGTGCCAATCAATGAAGTGGTGATTTCTGCTTCCATATCTGTCCTTTTCTCCGGGGGAAAATATACAAAACAGTACATTCTCATTAGTGGCTCTTACTGACTCAGCGTTAGGCAACTGCTTCGGTGTTCGCCATATCATTGCTAACAAATATTTGATTGATATACCATCTCAGATTTAGGCTAACAACACTTCTGACTAGTTCAGTTATTCAAGGGTCAAATCTTTCTATTTTATGTTCATAGAAATGCCATTTTGGTAATAGGCAGACAAGTATGCATGCAATTTGCTTATGTAAATAAAATTTCTTTCTCGGATCAGCTTGTTGCTGATGGAATTTTTGTTTGAGGCACTGTAAAGCAGAAACGATTGGCATGGAAGTCGAAGAATATTGATACTCAACTGTTCAGATCGGTACTCATGCATCTTTTATCATTGGTTTTGTTCTATTACAAATGTATAGAGAGGAGCTAAGAAAGAACAGAGGTCATATTGGTTTAATCGGTGATAATTCAATGACACTGATGGTGTGGTTGATGGCGAGAAAGACTGGCGCTAATTGACCGCTCCAATAGGAAAGTGACGCATGGATCAGAGCCTGCCATGTATTATTCCAACTTCTAGAATGCATCTTGCACTTTTCAAAAAGCATTATATTTTTGTTTGTGACACTGGAAAATGGAATTTGAGATATTGGCATGATCTGCACAAACCGATGTTACTTCTCAGTCTATATTTTACCCATCTGTAATCCTCAAATCTCGCCTTCCAGTAACCTTGTGTGTTCTTTTTATTCAATGACATTCGATTCATCTGAACTTAGAAGGTCCATAAAATCATATCCCTTATTTTAAGTGATAAAATCATACACTACACCTTCAATGAGGTGCACGACTTGATTTTTCCCAATAAAAAGTACCATATACAAGAATCTAAGAATCTTTGTTACCAATTATGCGGCTGATTTTGTGAAAAGAATATGCAAAAGCACACACAATAAGTAAGGGCATCATTGGGAAGAATATTAGAATATGCATGTCCTGTATTTCTGTAATATCATTTTCAATCAAATGTGCGCGCGCATATTTTTTTTATAAAAAAATTAATTATTTAATTTTTGTAGTTTTATGACTTGATTGTAAATTAATCTCTGAATTTTATCTCACAATTTAGTCAATAAAGTTTTAACCTTTTAAATATTTATCTTTATGTGTTAAAAAATAAAATTATAAAGATTAAAAATATTTTAAAATTTTAATATATATATATATAATGTTTATAAAGATTAAAAGGGTTTAATAATTTAAAATATTAGTAATAAATTTTAAAATATTTTTAATCTTTATAATTTTATTTTTTAAAGTATAGGAATCAATATTTAAGAGATTAAAATTTTAGAAACTAAATTGTTAGAGATAAAGTTCAAGAACTGATTTATAATCAAGTTAAAATTTTAAAAATTGAGTTATGTTGAATTAAAATTAAGAGATTGAGTTATAACTGATTTAACATTATAAAAATTAAATAAATAATTTTTTTTATCATATAGAAACATGTATCGTGATGTGGGAATACTCTGTATGGTCCATACTCCATAATAATGCTGACTGACATTAGAAAAGACCCAAAATAGGATGCCCATTGGAAAAAGCATCTCACAACAATTACCACCCAAGAACCTTGTGGAGAAATAAATGTCAGTAAAGATAGGAGAAGGGATAAAGCGAGAACATATTATCCCGAAGGAAAAAAAAACAATATAAAATACTATAATGAACATTTTGAGCTCGCATAGACCAGAAAAGGTGGGATCCCATGGAGGAGACAACAAGAACAAAATGAATGATTATTTTTTTGCGGGAATTTTAGGCTTAGCTGCAACATTCACTCAACCTCGCGCTGGCTTTTCCCTTTCATACTTTCAGTTTAGGCCTCAGAAATTGGAAAAAGGAATTTATTTATTTTTTTCTTCCATTTCTTTATACCTTTTGAGAGATTAGAAGGGGAGACTCGGAAGAGGCCGTACGTAATGTCACCTATCTTCTTTACATTGGCGCAGAGTCTGCAACGCAGGTAATCGATGAAGAAAGGACAACAAAGATGACTGTCTATTAACTTGGCAGAGAGATATATGTCTGAGATCCAAATACGCGCACCCGACAACCAAACATGTTATCCCCTGTCTCCTCCCTCTTCCATGATTTTTTGGTATTCCAATTAATTAATTAAAAAAATAAAGTCAAACAGATATGAAAAAGAGAAGCCCAAAATTATGATCAAATATCCCAGAAGAAACAACAAAAAATGGGTTGAAAGAAGTAAATATAAGGATGAAACAAAGCCTATCAATTACCATCAAAATTATTTCGCAAGAAATAGCCAGGCTAAATCAAGATTTTGGTGTCCCCCCTTCTGAATTTTATTTCGGCACTTAATTTTTGCTATCAAATTATATACGCATATTTTACGGCAAATATGACAAGGGAAAAAATTAAAAGAATATTTAACTCAAAATATTGTGACGATGCTATATTAAAACAATAATGACAATAATTTAAGCTACCATTAATTAGAAAATGTTATGATAACAAAAAAAAATGACAAGTGGAGTGACAAAAGAAATGAATGTTTTTACCAATATTTATGATTTTTGAACTTTTGATATCTTAACTCCACAATTACATATTAACACCTAGATTGAATATATTTGTAAAAGTATAACACAAATCATGATCATTTAAAAATCATATTAACAAGAGTCAATTGACCTTTGATAATAATGATCAATTTTTTGTCTCATGAGATTAGTTCAAGTGATACGGATGAAACAAGATGTAAATAGAGATGAAATATTTAAATCTCTTCATGCATAAAGAAAAAAAAAACCTTTTACTCCACACTTTTCGTGGGCATTTGTACACCAGTGGTTTAGTCTCGCAATTTTTTTCTTCTTGATCTTTGCCCCTCAAAGGCTAGATGTCCAATTTCAAAAAGATGTTCAATTGCAATACACAATGCAAGTCGTTAGTGATAGTCGACTACATAGGCGCTTAGGGAGAGGAAGGAATGGAGTAGCTCGAGCAAAGCAAGAGGGTTGGGACACTTGAGCGATAGCGAGAGGAAGGTAAGAGTAGCTTGCACCTATCGAATAAACTAGAGAGGAGCGATAGTAGCTTGAGCAAAGCAAGAGACCTTCTAACATAATGGGTCGCCCTTATCAAATAAAGGTAAAGTGAGATGATTGAAGCATCTTTCTTTGCCCACAGAACTTTTCCCAGGAAAACATTAAGGCAAAAAAAAAAAGGAACTTTTACTCGTTCTTATTACTTTATAATTATAAAAGTCACTAAAATGTAATTTTGGTGAAGTAAAAAAAGCTTATGGGGTCCATGTCAAGCCACTGACATCAAGTATTCAGAGCAAAAATTAGAAGCTTCTCACTGAGTGAAAACATTAAAACCAGAAAATGTTTCGGCAAGGCTTCCTTTTCCTCCTTTTTTTTGGGATAAAAGGGTTGGCCTTTGCTGTAAAAACAAAGTCACAATGACCAGGATAAATGAAGCCCGAAAATATACACGGGCCTAGGTCACGTGAAAGCAACGGCATGCTTAGACCCAAAGATTAAGAAACTACTTTACAAAAAAAGAAAACAAGCAATGGCATGCATTTTTACTTGGGCAATTCTATTATTCAAGAGAACTAAAACCCCATGAGAACTTTCAAAACCACTTTCGGACTAAAAAGTTTGATAAAATTAATATTTACTTTAATTTTATTAAAATTATTTGTTAATTCGCAATGAATTTTCTATTAATCACCAACTTTTTACTACTATTAACAAAATCAAATATCTCATTATGCGAGACTAAATTATTACACTTGATCATGTTTTCAGAGAAGCAAACAAACGTGCAGATTGATTGGCTCACTAATATCTACTGATAATTCAAATGTTTTTATTTTTTATTGCACCTCTTGATTATAAAAATCTTTTATACGCTAACATGACTTATTATGTCGGCTAGCACGATTTATCCATAACCTTCCATTAAACAAAAATCATGAGCAAACGAAAAATCATGTTAAATGAAGCCAAGCCAGAAGATTCGCAACCACGGCAAGAATAATGGAACAATGAAATGGAAAGGAACATGATTAATAGAATGAGATGAGGTGAAGTGGAATTGAACATTCAATTGTTTAGAAGTTTTCTAAGAAAAATCAACTATTTTATTTAATAAATATTTAAAAATTATTATAAATTAATGATTCTTTAATTTTATTTCTAGAGTACTTTCAACATGTTTCATTGATATCAAGAAAAACTTTAAAATTTATTAATTTTATTTAAAAATTTAATAATTTTTTATTTTTACTTCTATGAAACATATATACTTTAATAATATATATTTTTTCTCTCTAACCTTTAACGTAGAGAACGAAAAAATGTGTTATAAAAATATAATAAAGTGATTTATAAATAAAACAAAAATTATCTTTCTCTATCTTATAAATTAAATTAGAAGGAATATATCTAAATTATATATAATTATTTTTGCAGTATTATGATAAAAGGGAGTGAAAAAGTGAGGAGATTAAATGGATGGGAATAACTTTACAATAATATTATTTATATCATATTATTTTGTTAATATACCTTTCAGATTAGAGGTCAGAAAAGAAAAAACCTTAAAATAGTTAAGGAAGAGTTAGAAGGGTATTTCAAATCACCCCAAATAAAAAACAATAGCATTCCCTGCCCATTCCATTTTATCCTGAAAAAACTCCCAAACAATACCTTGGATTTTCAGACTTCCCAATCCACCGCGCCTTTGCCTTCTCCGGTAAGTTGTTCCTACTCCTGCACTCTCTTTTTCACGTCATACTGGATCTGTGCCTTTGTCCCCTACCTACTTCATCCTATTTATTCTTTGAAAATTTGGTGTCTTTCACACAATTTGAGCTGTGATTTTTGGATTGGAGACTTTCGATAGAAAAAGGAATTTGTGACCTTGATTTCGTAACTTCTGTCTTGCAATTCTGTTATTTGGCCAGTGCTCTTCTCCTGGTTGATTAAACAAATGTTCACTCTAGGAAGGAATAGACCACTTACTATGGTATTATTTCAATCGCCCTCATAACTTAGTTTTGAGAAATTGTTGTCAGTAGATTTTTCGTTGGAGGGGCATCTGATGGCTAACTCTCGAGGGCGTGATTTCCTGTTCTGTCACTTGCGTGGTATAATGTTGACGGTCCCTTCTACAAAGTATACACAGTGCTCGTTGTGCAAGACTAGGCGAGATACTAATGGTGAAGCCCTCTAAGCTCCTCTTCTGATTGGTTTGCATGCTGGATTTGTAAGTAAGTTTCAATACTTTTGAAATTACTGGAGTGCCAGTAGGGTCATTTCAGCGTCCTAAATATCCATGTTTCCTTTCAATCATCAAATCATATAACCATGCTCTTTTTTTCCGTGATTTCAATCTATCAAAAGTGCTGTCCTCTAGTTAAATATAGCTAAATCTAAGCTGTTATCAACCAGGCTATCCGTTTGTGTTTGAAATCACAATCCACAATATTCTGTTGACAGAGCATATGCTTGGCAATCGACGTGTCCCCCGCCCCCCGGTTTTTTGGAAATCACATGTTGCCTAATAAATGCCTTTTTAATGTGAACTTTGTCACTATGCTTCAGAACTGGAGGACTTCTTATCTACTTATTTTACTGATAGGTTCTTGATCATTCTTTATTGAGAGTGATTTGGTGCTTATGCCATCGTGCGCTTAGATTGAGTTTCGGTAAAACTTTGTTCTTGACCATTTGATGTTTTCGCCAGATGTTTGCCATGCTTTCACGTGGATTGTAAGTCTAATGCACAAGAAGAAGGTATGATATAGATCGCATCGCATGACTTACACATGATAGGGAAAAGTATCTAGTGTTTAATCGCAAAAGCTTTTCAATAATACCGAATGAAAATGCAGTTGGTTGCAAATGGAGACAAATTTACAGCACCAACTCGTGAAATCCGTGTGCCGGTGTGAAGTGTGTATGGGTCTGGGTGCCTGCACATTTGGAATATTTAGCTATAGAATATTTTTGAGCATTAATTGTAACTATAACTCAATTCACCTGATCTCTATACGCTAACTGATTGCCCCTGTTTCCGGATATCAGCGGAAAAGAAATGTGTTACACAATTTCTGCTAAGGTATGATTTGTTGATTTAAATAAGCTGCAGATCGTATTTCTATTCATTGCATTCGAATACATGTTTTCTTGCGACCAGCATATGGTTACAACGAATGAAATCATAATTCCACGATGTGGACGCAGGTTGGGGATTTGATATCAATATAACAATCTTTGTGATATTTCATATTATTATGTGCCCTTGTGTTGGCAGGATATCAGAACGGAGCTTGAAATTGTTATAATGGAAGAGCAGAAGGTGCAATTCTCAAAGGTAATGAACGGGCAAGGCTGATTTAAGGGCATGCATAAGCTTTTTTTTGCCCCCTTTTTTTTGAAAAAATTAATTTTTTAATTCACTTACAACTAATAATTAAAAAACTAGACCAAATTGATAAGTCAGACCATCAACTGGTCAAGCTAACAGCTCGGTCAAGTCAAAAAAATCATTTGGGAAGATGTGCTGGATCGGGAATTGGGATCAAGTCGGCAACTGGGTCAAATTTTTAAAAATTGGACTGTTAAAAAATATCTTTCTTACATTTTTATTTTTTTAAAAAATGACCAACTATTTTAATCATTTGATGTTATGTTGTAGCATATGATTTGTTAAGTTATGATAAATTTAAAATATTTAATTTAATTTTTAAGTTAAGTAGTAATTTCATATTTATTTATCATAGTTAAAATAATTACATACATATATAATTTTTTTAATTTAATTATTATGTTATCAATTTGACCATGTAAACTGTGAGCTATTGACCTTTTTGGTTTGATATCTCGTCTGGCTTTGAAAACATTACATGCAACTAAATCCTTCAATTATGATTCGTTACAACTTAATTTCTCAACTTTTGACTGGTCTATGATTTAATTCCCCAACTTTTAACTTGTCTATGACTTAATTTCTTAACTTTTATTAATTTTTTTTCATGTTAGCTTAGATCTCACATAAAAGAGCAAAATGAGGGTATTTTAAAGCAAAATATGAGCATTTTTTTATCCTCTTATTTGATAAAGATGATTTTTTAAAAAAATTGAAAAATAAATATCAAATTATAAGTGAGTTAAAAGTTGAAGGATTAAATTACAATAACTCATAGTTAAAGGATTGAGTCACAACAAGTCATAATTAAAGGATTGAGTTAAAAGTTAAATGATTAAAAAATTAATTTTTCTCCTTCGTTTTTTGAATCAACAGGTGAACAAGAAATGTGAGAGATGTGGTCAAGGGGAGGCTAACTTTTATAGCAGACAGGTATTGTTTATTAGAATTTACAAGGCAAATGCGCTTATATGACTTATATGAAGGTTAAGTTTAGCAGCTCGTGACATTATAATTTTACAGATGCGATCAGCAGATGAAGGGCATACTACCTTTTACACTTGTCGTCGTTGTGGCCACCAGTTTCAGGAGAACTAAGCTGCTCTTATCATGCATGCATGGATTGGATTAATTGGATTACCCCGAACTTATATTTGTCAAAATTTCTTTACTGGGCAAGGGACTGGCTTGTGCAGAGGGAGTTGAAGGCCGAACTCTTTCTACATTGAGTCATGTGAATTGCGGCTCAACAGTCTACTAAATGTTAATATACCATTAATATAGATAGACAATGTTAGTTTGTTGGGTCGACTACCGCCATCCAAAGGTGATTTTGCTCATCAACAAAAGTTGATATAGTTTATAATGCTTATCCGGATATAGTTTGAGCACTAGATCATAAGACGAGAAGACGTTATTTAGAAGAATTAAGTCTAATAAGATGTTCTGCAAGTAAAATTTTGAAATTGATATTTGCTTCATAAGAACCCTCAAGTTTTTCTCAAAAAATTGAAAATCTTAGTGTAAAATCAAACTCTAGGATTGTCAGCAAGCTCTATGAAGCGAAGGGCTAAATACTAATCTGACTGTATAATTTAATGTGAGTATTTTCGAATTTAGATACACTTCTAATTTAATTAATTTGACATGAGAAAATATTTTTACTCTAAATTCGAATGAACCTAAGAAGGCCATTTCACCCCTTCAATATTTAGATACAATGCCTTGAATAACTAATCATTACCAGGCATTTGAGAGATGCACCAAAATATCTCGTGTAGGATGCTGCTCCTTTTTAAATTTTCACATTTGGTAATAGGAAGAATGACAAAAAAATTCCCAAATGATTAATTAATTTAAGTTAGGTTTCAAATATTAAATTTTAAAAATTTACAACTCAATTTTTTAATTTTACAATAATATTGTAATAAATTTGTAATTTATTTTTTAAATTTTAACATAGTTAAAAAATTAAAAATTTATTTATTCTATTAAAATTTAAAGTACAAATTACAAATTTATTACAATGAAATTATAAAATTGAGCGATTCAATTATAAATTCTCGAAATTTGACACTTCAAACTTACTTTGAATTAATTGATCATTTTGATATCTCTATGTGATTCTCCCTTTAGTAATATCCATGACAAATTTCAAGTGGTGCATTAGTTTCTTGGTGGTAGTAAAGGATGTGCAGCTGCTGAACGATGTTCAGAATCTAATTTTCACCCTGATTGGTCATCTTGATGCTGGCACAACCTGAACCGGCTGCTTACTTATTCATATTTGTTTCTATGAACCAATAGCTCATTTCATCGCTTCACAGCATTAGCATTTGAAATAGATAGCCTTTCATTTCATCAATAAAATTATGCGCGCGCGCGAGTGTCAAACCACATGAAATCGTTAACGACTCCATTCAGTTACAATCACCACGAACACAGCCTAATAAATCAAGGGGGGAAAACTCTGGAAGAAAACAACAGAGATAGCTAAACCTGCGGTAAGTAAACCTTGCCGCAACCAACATCAGAAGTCACAGGAACACCTAACAAAACTCATTCAACCTTATAAATGAACACGATACATTTGGGGTGGCTCACTCACCATAGCAGCTAAGTTTTCTAGCAGCGAATGGAACATTGTGCACCCATCTTTCTAGCGTGCTTATTTTTGAAAATCGTGGGTGTCGTCGTCCTGGTAGGACATCAAAAAGCGAAGAATTCAGGATACTTGAACTCAAGAAATCTTCAAAGATGCTTTATATTTTACTAGAACGCTCAAGTAAAACTGATCAAATACGAAATATTACGTCAATGTCGTTAAGAGCTACCAACAATTAGTTCTATTCTACGATTGAGGGGGCTTGGAGAGGAAGTGAGGAAGTCAAAAATAAAGATTTGGATACGCTTGGATCTAAATTACTTCTGTTAAATTAGAAACAATATGTCACGGTAAAAATTGATCGTTAGATTTGACCCTCTGTCAAGGTTCACAATCCTCTCATCCTGGTCCCAATCAGATACCAGGCACATTTAGATAAAATAAACCATCATCCTAGAAATCAAAGAACAAGGATGATCCCTCCTACAATTTCCCCTTTCTCTCGTTCAACATTTCAAAGAGGCAAAGATCAATACCAAAGAAAAAACACAGATCTTCACAGAATAAAACAATTAACAGATAAAATAAAACACCTGGTCATAATTACACATCGTTAAACAAATTTGTTACAACAATAATCAAGAAAGTCACCAAGAAGGGGGTATAAAATTCAAAAAGTCAAATCCGTCACAGCATCAATTACAGGGTAATCATACGTAACGGAGATATCAACAGATCTACCTAATCTTGTCACCGAAATACAATAGCAAGAAAAGCCATCTCAGAGACATGGGAAATACAAGAATATGTATGATGGGGTTACCAAAGTTTAAGGGTATAGCAAGTTCAAACGGGGAGGTTGGCGACGTCGTTTTTTTCAGCAGGAGAGGGCGAGGCGACGGGGATGCGGTTGCTGAGATTGACGGAGGCGGTATTGGAGAACATGGAGGCGTCGTCGTCGTTATCGTCGTCCAGATCGTCAGAGGTGGAGACGTTAACGCAAGACCAGCGATCAAGGGAGGCGAAGAAGGCAGAGGCGACACTTGCGCCGAACCAGCTAGCCATGCCGTTCAAGGACTCCGAGGACCAGCACCATGTGCCCTGATTCTCCATCTCTCAATAATCAAGTTTGATATTTGTGTCCTCTGATTCCCGCAGACAAATTCCGTCTTGTTTGCCCAGAGAAGAGGGAGAGAGATTTCGAGGTCTAGGGGATGGCGCAGGACGATCAATACGGATTGGGAGAATCAATCTCACTCCCCGGCCAACCCCCTATTTTTTTTTTTTTTTTGGGCCAGACCAGCCAACCCGCTAGCTACATAATTTGTTTTTAGAAAATTAACATATAATTAGAAGAATCAAATGAAGAAAGTTCAGGTGAAAAAAGAAAAAAAACAACGAGGAGGTTAATTTTTTGAAAAACAGTTAAGTCCAAAACTTTAAATTAATTATAGTTAAGTTTTTAATAATTTTTTAAAAAAATAATTAAAAATATCAATTCAAATAATTATAAATTAGTTGTTTCAATTGTAAATAAATATTTAAATATCAAATATAACTTTTAGATAACAACAAAAAAATTTTATAATTATTTAAATTTAAATTTATAATTTATTTTTTAAAATTTTTTCCATAAACTAAGTTTCATTAATTTATTTTTTAAAATTTAATTATCATTTTTTCTATTTTTTTATGAAAAAACTAGTATGTGCCCATGCCAAGATGTGAAAATTTTGAAAATAATTTAAATAAATAATAATATTTACTTAAAATCTAGAGTAAATTGCCTTTAATTAAAAAGTGATTAACTCATAAATTATATTTAGATATATTACAAAAACCAAAATTTAATAATTTCACAATGCATAATGACAAAAGTCATAGAACATAACTTAATGCCTCATTCAATAATTAGTGTGGCTCATCTCTTATCTCAAGAACTCAATCTCTATTGTTATTATCAACCACAAAAATAAGAACCTATATCTTCTAAAAGTAATGCCTCCACAATCCATAATGGAAAAATTCATATATTTAAAGTAAATAATGAAATTATAAAATGCATCTATAAGGATTTTGCTTTTCAATATGCTAAGAATTTATGACACATACTTTACTTATATCATTATGATTACAAGTGAGCCTCAAAATCACAACCACTCAATTTAATCTTACTTCTCATTTGGTTGATCCTCTCTCATGCTTTATCTTCTTTTTCAACTTGTTCTCCTAATTTGAGAGCTTACCCAAAAAGAGTCAAAATCAATATTAAGGCAATAATGATTTTTATCAAATAATTTGGTTGGCATCCAGCATAATGAGGGAGACAAACTTGATATGTTGTTGAAAAACTTGATACTTGAGTGTCAAGGAATTTGCCTTTTTTGTTGACGTTTGGACTTTAGGTATTCCATTATCGTTCCTGAAGTTTATCTCTCTACAGTTCTTTCCTAACAATTCCTCCTATAATGACCTTATTGTACTGTAACCTTAAAACTTGTTGCAAAAACAAATTGAACAGCAATTAAAAACTTACGGTTCTTACAATTAAGTACATGTTAGGGGAAATTATTCATGAATTATTATGTGTATGGAATAAATTGAATATTCCATTAAGGAAGCTAACCTTATTTACATCATGCTTTGTCAAAACAATATTTGAGTCTTTATATGCATTAATCACATTGCTAAGAAATTAAGAACATCATGAAAAGAACTTGAATATCCCTTCTTTAAAATTTCCCAACGTCCCGAACAATGCCAACAACTTGTCCACTTTATCTACAAATCAAAACATGCTTTGCATCTTTTTCACTAATCTCTCACTCTCTTCATACAAAAACCATCATGACCTTGTGTGCTCCATGGATCTCATCTCGTCAATCATATTCCTTTAGATCCTACAATTACATTGAGCAAGGAGAGTAACCATGGGAATGATGATACAGGCAAATTAGCCTTTGGTTTTTGTGTCTTTTATAAAAAAAATAGGTTAACATTATGAAAATTGAATATGGAAGTAATACGTGATAGTTGCATTGAAACTAAAAGTGAGAATTGCTTGAAAACTGTAAATGGAATTGGTCTTTGATAGTTGAGCAAGGAAGTTATGAAAATAGAAATTTTTCCTTATCTTTTAAATTCAATTTTAAAATTAGGAATAAGCAATTTGAAAGATATGATAGTGGGGAAGTTTTCAGGTGGGGGAAGTAGCTATGGTAAGGGAGAAATTTTCAAGGCATGTGAGAAGTTATAATGTTTAATTTTTTTTATATATTTAAAAATATTAAATTTAAATGACACTAAGGAAGTTATGATTAAAGTAGATAAATTGTGAAATTTAAAAAATCAGAAAACATATCCCAAAAATTTAAAACATATAAATTAGATTATTTTATAAAAGATGTTTAAAATTGGATGTAGGGGAAGTTATAGTTTTTTATTTTTTTCTTTTTTAAATTCTTTATCGAGGATACTTTTTATATATTTTAAAAATATTAAATTTGAATAAAATTTAGGAAGTTATGGTTAAAGTAGATAGATTGTGGAATTTAAAAATTAGGAAAAATATAAGGAATTTTTAAATATATAAATTACCCAATTTTATATAACATAATTAAAAATTTAAAATGGGGGTAAGGAGAGTTATAATGTTTGAATTTTTTAAATTTTTTAAAGTTTTTTCATTGCAGATACTTTTTTTAAATATTTCAAAATATTAAATTTAAATAAAATTTAGAAATTTATGATTATTTATTTATTTATTTAGAAAGCTAAGAAGTTATGATTAAAATGAATAGATTGTGGGATCTTGAAATATAAAAAAATATAAGAAAATTTTAAATATATAAATTAAATTATTTTATATAACATTATTAAAATTTGGCATGGCTATTTAAAATCACAATATTTTGTAAATTAATCATGTGTCAAATTTAGAAGGTAAATTTGTTTATTCTATATTAGAGTGATAAATTTGATATAATAAAAATAACTATTAGACTTTATCAATCTTGATTCTAATTATTACATGATAAATTGCTTGTCGTCATAATATTTTAGTAACAATAAAATAATTTATTTTAATAAAATATAAATGGAAAGTTGAGATAATGGAAATATGTTTAGAGATAAGATAGTTTTATCTATTTTAAAAATTTAAAATAAAAATAAATAAAGTAAAATTAGCATCAAGGACATGTCACATGTGTTGACGTTAGATGTTACTTGTGATTTTACTTTTTTATGAAGTTGAGATAATGAGGAAATGCTTGAAGGTAAGGTAGTTTTATTTATTTTTAAAAATTAAAAATTAAAAAAAATAAATAGAGAAAAATAAAATTAGGAACACATATCTTCATTAGATGTTACTTGCAGCTATGCTCTTTTAGAAAGTTGAGATAATTATGAGATATTTAAGGGTGAGATAGTTTTATCTATTTTCAAAATTTAAAAATAAATTTAACAAAATACAATTAAGAACATATGCCGTCATAAGATGTTGCTTGTGGTTTTACTTATATATATATATATATATATATAGGTAACTACATGTTTTTTTTTTAAGTGAAAATTGAATTACATTCAAAAGAATTTAGGACTAGCCCTTAAGAGCCAAAAAGGCCAACAATGTAATAAACAAAAACATAACAAAAGCTATCAAAATTAAGGATCAAAATCAAAAGATCAAATTAAGTCCTTAACTTTTGTAGGGCACATGGTGGAAAAGCTCAATTGGATTAGGAAGATTTCCCATAAAAATATGTCTATTTCTAGTTTCCCAAAGATTCCAACATAAAAGCCAAAACACAATCCAATTTATGCCTTTCTTGTGAGAATTCAAATTACATAAAATCTACTGAATAAAAGGCATGGTCTAAAAGTTTAAGAACATCTTGACAAGGATCACATGTTGCCAACAAGAACTAGCATATGCGCATTTTTGAAGGCCATGATCTAGATCTTCAATCATGCTACCACAAAGGGAGCATAAAGCATCATATGACAAATGATGTCTTTGTCTAGCTACATTAGTAAAGAGACCATTCCTTCGTGTTAGCCGGAGAAAATATCTAACTCTCTAAGCTCTTAGCCACTTTCATTTGGTTTTCCATCCTTCATCCTCCTCATTTTAGTATAGCTCCTCTATAGCTTTATAAGTAGAGAAGACCATGAACAAGGCATTAGTTGTATAGCGCCATCGGCAAGTAGCATCACCAGGGCACGGTTAAGAGGCATCTATATTATCAATTTAGAGAACAATGTTAATAGGGAAATGGTCTTGAAAAAGGAGTCTTTTCTATAAACTCGACCCCATTTTATAATCAGCAATGGTTAAATCTTGCCGAGCATTAGATGTATCAACTAAAGACATGTTATTGAGAGGATCCAGTTCCTAAACCAATGATCTTCTTGAAAGTATAATCTTACCACTGTGATGATGCTAAAGCATGCCTATAATGATGTCTTGCCAAACCTTAGCAATACTTTACTACACATGTGAGTTAGCATTGGTCTTGAACTCAGAATTAGAGAATGAAAACCAATAATATTTAGCATGAAGAACTCCCACTCGGAGAAGATTGGGTCTATTAGTTAAGGAGAAGGAGAGCTTCGATAGGGAGGCAAGATTTTAGCTTTCCAAATTTCTCATGCAATGCCTACTATTACTTTTAAGCTATCATATTTTAGACCATTGAAGAAGGCTAAATCTTCTACGGTGACCCTTTAAGCCCCAAAAAAAGCTTTGATTATGTTGTCAATTTTTTCTTATATAAGAAAAAGGAATAAAGTGGTTTGTATATCATAATAAAGCACATTGCTAAGAACATAGTTAGGTAAGGTAATTCCCCTCATAAAAGAAAGGGAGTCAACCTTGCAGGGGGATAGTTTCTATTGAATGTGCTCCATAATGTCATGGCAGGTGGCCTGTAATAACCTCTATTATCAACCCCAACTAACTCTACTAGCCAACAACCTTTAACCAAAATGATAAACCATGGCTTTAAAGTTTATTAATAATAATAATAAAGGTCAACCTTGAAATTGGGACAAAAATATTCAAAAAGATTAATATAACATTTTTCAAAAATTAAAGTGTTTAGAAACACGAGAAGATAAATAATACAAAACTTAGCATAGAGGAAGGAATGAGAAAGGATAGAATAGTCATAAAGGATAACTGTGTTAGTTTGCCACGATGATCCAACTACTGGTTGACACTCTTGCCACGACTTGTGGCATGTTCGTTGCAGTATAAGGCATAGCCAACTCACCACAACCTG